AATTTTTTTTTTTGATTAGATATTTAAAACAGTCGCACAGACGTTTGCGAAACGATGTAAATAATCTCGGTACAAAGTTTTTGTCCACTTGCTACTCAAACTTGTGGTGGATTCCTTCTTAATTCTTTAATATTTTCAATGTAAAATTAATTCCAAACGATTTTTGTAGAAGTAATTATTTCTACTCTGGTGCACTTTCAGATATTGCTCGAAAATATCGAGCTTCGAGTATGAGTTAGTTGAATTTCCAGCGGATCCGCTAATAACTAAATTTGAGATTTAGAGCCTGACTGGAGATGGATAGCGGCTGAAAAGCGAAGAAAAAAGCGCGAAGCACGGCACAAGCTCAGTTTGTTGTTTGTGACTTTGTTCAAAAAATATTGTTCATGTAATTTAATTCCATTGAAAAGTATATAATCCCCGATGTAATGCCTGGATTGAAAGTATATTCCAATCCTGAAGATCGCTTTAGCTAATCGACGGTTTTTGGAAGCTACAGTTTTATTGCATATAAGTTATTTAAAAGGTACTGTAACTGATACTGGTCAACCGATTAACCCTTGAATAGACCAGTTCGGGTTTTTTTGCCATTTTGAAAAAGGCATACGTTAAACAAGACGCGAAATATCCATTTTTCATGGGATGGCGGGAAATCCGCGAACGGGTCTGTAGTTGCCTCCAGGACACTGGGGACTACTCCTTGTTATAAAATATGTAGGTATGTGCGACCCAAAACAGATATCGACTTTGAGCCAATTATTCTGAAATAGGGGATAGATTTTGAACATTTAAGACGCGTTACCTACTCCAGGGCTAGAGAAAAAGGATTTAGTTTGACTACGGCAGAGATGGTAGCCTGAAATGTCAATCAGCTCTCGTCCTCAGCCTAGTCCCTCTCGCTCGGGGAAGAGGCCGAGGGCGGGAGATGACGTCATTACAGGCCAGAGGGACTGTGAATGCGGAATCATTTTCTATGGAATGTTGTTTTGGGTTACATTTCCTGTCAAAAATGGTATATTAAACTTGACATCTAGACCGAGCCCGTTCAAAATCCAGACTGCGAAATGCGTTCACTAATCCCTATCCTAAACAAAACTATGACAGAAGCTAATTTTATAACAAAAATAGTTTTCTCTGCCCTAACAATAGGGTAGAGAATTTTGTCTTTTCTCTACCCTGTTAGCGCAAGTAGGCCCTAGTAAAATCTAGAATCGCTTGCCGGTTTTTCCTATGAAATCTAAGCTGCGAGCACCCTCCCTCCCTTACATTAGCTCTTATATTATAATTCCTTCTCCCTTGGAAAAAAAAATAAAAGATAAAAAATTAAAGAAACCCCTAATCTTAGGCTGTTTTTCTTTTCTCCTTCTTCCTTTTCCCTTACTTCTCGTTTTCGCCTGATCGCAGTTAATGAAATCAACCAGGCGTTACATATCGTGTGTCCGGGAAGGTCTGGGTACAACTCCAAACATCCGCTGACATTCCACCGAAGGCTCTTGTGAGTAAACGTGCTTTGGAACTTTCTGACTCAGAGTTTAGTCCTATGGTCAAGTTTTGTTATTATTTTAGCTATTTCGGAGATTCAGTGACCAAAAGATGGTAAGTAATCATTTCTCCGTTTTCACAAATCTCTGTAAGCCTTTTATTTTTAACTGGAATATGTCTGGGGTCAAATATACCGTATGCTTTTCACCCGGCAATTCGCAATGAAATTTTAGCTTTAATTAATATTATTTCATCTGCTTTTCGTCAATTTCGACAATCTATGCTTGAATAATAAGGGTTTTTTTCCGGTAAATACAGTATATGTAGATTGAAAACTTTTGTTAACTTTAACTCTCACCAATCGCCCTTGTACTTTGTTCTACATATCGTAATTCAGCGTACTTAGCTTAGCTTTAATATAGCCTCCATGTGTTACGTAGTAATACGCATTAAAGCCGAGCAACTCTTTTTCTACGATGACGGTAAAACTGAAAACTGTCGACGACTCTCAAGAAAATTTAAGTAGCTTCAAATTCGCTAAGATCACATGAGAGGAGAGTTTCAAGTCAAACGATCAAGCAGGAACAAGAGTAATAAAATGTTGATCTTGATTCTATTGGGTCGACATTGTTACAGTAAACCCATATTCAACCCTCTAAAAAACCCAGTCACAAAATGACCCTCCTCCCCCTTGCTATTCCTGGCTGTACAACTCTAAAACTGTGATAATGATCCCATGGATTTTCAGTCTGATTTTCAGTCAACAAATGTACATGTAGCATGTTTTTGTTTCATATTATTTTTCCCATGCTATGAAGAATTCAAACAAAAGGCTGGAAAACTGTTGCATGATATACTAATTACTATATTATAAAGTTAATACTTGTATTTCTCCCACCCCCCGGTAAAAAAAAAATTCTAAATTTTGATATTTGTATGCGTGTTGTATGCATTTGTATGCATGACTGCATAATAATATCTAATATCCTGCCTACTTATTGTTTGTACCTAGAAACCACTTATGCTCCATGGTCATGAGCGATCAATCACTCAGATCAAGTACAATAGAGATGGTGACTTGCTCTTTTCCTCTGCAAAAGACACAAAACCAAATGTCTGGTACTCATTAAATGGTGAAAGACTTGGAACATATAATGGGCATGGTGGTGCTGTCTGGTGTATTGAC